GATTCTCACAAATCTCGAAAATAACACATATTTGCATATCAAATTGATACGCACTGGAGTTTTGCCCGCTTTACGTGAAGTGGTGTAAAACTTGGTGAAAAACGCGAAATCCACGGTATGCAGTAGCCGTGAAGTATGTTTTTCATATCTCGGGTGAAACTCCACTGTATATACTTCTTACTGTTCGAATCACGAGAGCATCATCTCTGAATGCCTCGAGCATGAGAGCGCTCCCACTGTATGCCGCATCCACATGCAACATTATTCCTTCTCGCCGACAGCTGAATAACCGGATAGCAAAATTTTCTATCGAATATTCCAGCTTCCTTACAGATCTCCCAACTCGTGCACAGGGTCAACCGCACAAGTGTTCGTAGCGCCGTAATTTGCGACGCACAGAATTGGCAGGAAACCGAGTCGTCTACAACAACGGGTTTTCAACAAACACTTTAATCTTCTATACCTGTCTTCAACTATTGTCTCTTTCAAAAGTGAAATGTTCATCGGAAAGTTGCCGGTCTCATCTCGGGAAGTCGCTATCTGGAGAAGTACATAAATAGTCGGTCTTTTTAATCTCAAACGATGTGAAAAACGTCCTTTATTTCACGAGAATCAGTTTCCATTTTTCCAATTTCTCCTCTCATTCGGCGAGTTTCGGATTGAAGAAGGGGTTATAGTGTGTACAACAATCAACTCGTAATCGCATTGCCAGTGACGACGCGAACTTCGCGTCGCGGAGTAGCGTTATTACAGCATGTTCGCTTTCCTCAGCTGAGTTCAGGAGTTTTTTCGCTATTTGTAGAAGTTGGAATACAAATTCGGGTAGAAGTGCACAGAAACCAACGAGAATTTCTCAAAATTTCGTCACAATTTTCATATTATCACCAACAAATGTGCATATTTTCCTACAGTGCAATACCAAGAATCAACTACCGAATGGGAACAGTGTGGGAAAGTATGCACATGGTCAACCACATGTGTTGGTGGAAATGAGCAACTTCTGAGAGAATTCTGGGAACTTGGTTTCTGTATACTTCTACCCCAATTTCAATGTAAACTCCTGAGCTCAGCTGAGGAGAGCGAACGTATATTCCTCCAACACTGACCACTTACCTTCCGTAAACGAACTCCCGCCGTACGGCACGCTTTTTCCGTACAGAAATGTGTTTGTTCCGATGTGTATCTGTTGAGGATTCCTTCACTACTCAAGAAGTTGAAACGAGATCACCTACACGACAAAACGCAGTTTGCTCACCCCTCCGGACTGTTCATGCTCCATGTTTGTTTCTGCCAACATCTGCGTAAAAGTGAAATGATAAGGATTAGGTATCATCGACAGTATATGAGAAATCGATGCAGTTTTTATGAGCTTTAAGGACGGCTTGTATACACCTCTGATGCACATCGTGATGGGGTCGTTCTACCATGAAATGTATGGATTTTGGTACGCATTTTCTCACGTGTTGACTCCAATGTTTACTAAGTCTACCGACCAGCATAACAAATTCCGACAGTGAGGGAGAATAGGCACATGATCGACTTCATGTGTCGGTGACAATACGAAATTCTGAGGACATTTCGGGAAGTTCTTGTTGGTTTCTGTATATTTCTACCTGAATTCGTATGTAAACTTCTATAGTTAGTGACGAAACTCGTGAGATCAGCTGAGAAAAGTAAACATGTATACCTCCAACACTCAATTCCGATCTCGACCGATGAATAAATGCATCATAATTACCTTCATTTTCATTCTAGTTTTCGCTGCTGCTATCACTACTACAAGTGCATCGCTCGCCGTGTTTTGTACCTGTTCGTTAACTCGTTCAGCACACCATATTCAACTACTTACTGGGCGCGCGCTTTATACAAATTGTGAGTAAGTTTTTAGGTGATAGATATAAGAATCCACTGGGAATAACTAGACTCAATTCTGACTCCCAATTCGAGAGGATAAATGAAGAGTGCACGCAGATGATCATTGTGTGAAGTAGATGCGCACGCGTTCGGGTGGCAATAATTGTCACAGAGCGCGTTCTGGGATATTGATCGATCATTATCCATCTCGGGAAATAGCAAAAATTTCATATCAAATTCACTCACGATGCCGCCGCCCTTTCCTGAAGAATGCATGAAATCTTCTCCCAGTTGCAATCCCTTCGCAAGAGCGTCCATAGTAGAAATTTCCAATTCGTTTTCAATCTACAATGAATCACTTTTCCGCATCTTACTAGAGACACATACCTCACTATGTTCGGCAAGTACTCGATTACCGACACCCCCAAGAGCCGTCACGATAGGCTCCATGAGAATCACAGGAGTACCTGCAGTCAAGCAGTTATGCATATCTCGATTTTCGAGTTGGCTTTCCCCAATTCGAGAGTACGAATATAAACTACAGAACACTTGGTGCCAATCGATTCACGCTGTTGGAATGTTGATATCACTCAAAGTCGACTTTCGAACTCTCGAAAATAGACGGTGTTGAACGTATTACTTTGCATAACGGTTTGGTTCACACTGTACAACTTGTTCGATTTTCAGATTCCTAATCGTCGAATTAGTTACAACATTTTCTCGTTTCGAACTATCAAAATCGAACACACTATATGGTAGTTAAACACATACAACATCTAAAAAATTTTTCACTACTTTCTGAAAAGAATGATTCTGTTGTGAATGGTCATCCGAGTCGCATAGAGCAATGTGGGAGAATATGCACATGATCAACTACATGTGTCGGTGACAATATGAAAATTCTGAGAGGAAATTTTGGGAAATTCCTGTTAGTTTCTGTGCACTTCTACTCGAATTCGTCCGTCGTATTGAGAAAACTGCCAAACTCAGCTGAGGAAAATACATAATTTAACACCAGTAAGTTCACAAGCATTCACACTCACTTGTCTTTGATGGGAAGAATGCGAGGAACTTTGGGTGTTGCCAGTGGCACATTCCAGGGATCACCAATTTCTCTATGTCCGACAATATGGCCACCCACGATCGGCCTTTTTCTGTTAATACACCTAGCTGTGATATTCATAGTGTTCGTATAGGAGTTCACACATGAATTCGAGTAGAAATGTCAAGAAACCAACAAAATTTTTTTCTGAATTTTCACTTTGTCACCAGCGCACCTAAATATTTTGTAGTCAACCAGCGAAAGAGCCTACCATTATTCTCGAGATGCTCAGCCGAACTCCCCGGTTTCAATTCAGGATCCCTAACGAGCCGTTCCCCCACTGATTCCAAATATCTGAGGGCCATAGCAACAACAGTATAAAAACAAAAAACTCACCGCACTATCATATCCATCGTATCGCACCAGTTCTTTTCCCAGGATGTCCGGAAGCCCTCGCGCCTGGGAAAAAAGAACACTTTAACTAGGCCTTCCACACGAAGAAACGAAGCTTGGATTGTTTCTAACGGTCGCGGGTTCAATTCTCGGCACATGCTCTTTTCGAGCAGTTTCCACTTACTAACATTTACGGCGCACAAAACACAGCGTCAGGGATGAGAGTATTTTCATATTCTCTGGAGGATACATGAGCTACTCCGTATGGTATGTGTCTTGAGATCTCAACTGGTGTATTCGTAGAGAAAATAAACGGATGCACGCTGTTATCAAAGCAACCAGAAACCCGAACTGCTGAGAGCGAGCGACAAACCTCCTCGGATTTTGTCGTCCTTCCTTGGATTTTGTAATTTACCCGACCAACGCACATGAAACGCGTGAAGTGACAGTATACGCTCCTTGAGGAAACATATTCAGTGCGGTAAAATATGCACAAGATTAACTACATATGTTGATGACAATATGAAAATTGTGTTGAAATTATTTTCGATTTCTGCACACTTTTATCCGAATTCGTATGTAAAGGAAACTCTTGACCTCAGCTAAGGAAAGTGAACATATATCTCAACACTGGACTTACCCTAGCTCGTCGGGATGCGACCACGCTGTAGTTCCACGCCCGAATGCTTGATACACACGATGGTCATTTCTTTCTCCCACAGATCGTCTGAAAATGTGGGGAAATATGCACATTGTCGATTACGTGTATTAATGACAATATGGAAATTCTGAGGGAATTTTCTTGGTTTCTGCACATTTCTAAACTTCAATAACTAATGAGAAAACTAGTGAGCGCAGCCGAGGAGAGCGAACATATTTTCCTCCAACACTATATCGGCAGCTTACACAATGATTCCTTGTCGGTGAAGGAGTTCTACGACGGTTCCGGGTATAGCATTTTCGCATACAAAACATAAAAATCCAAAACGTGATGACATAATCGGTAGCTGTATGCGCTCCTGAAATGCGCAACAGAACACTAAGAATCGTACATTGTGTGCAAATTTGATATGCAAATGTGAAGAATGTGTGTTTTCTATTCTGGGATTAATGATAATGAACAACTTGTCGCTATCATAGTCTCGAAAGGTTACTTTTATCACATCACATGTTCATAGCAATGTTCACATTGTTTACATTGTTTATGCGATATAGTTTCAGATCGATTCTTATTAATCTCGGAAAATAACACACATTTGCATCATATCAAATTGACAATTATATTGGATTTCCACGACATTAGCAAGATCGTGGACCCGAAGTCTGCAAACTTATCGTAGCCGGTTACTCCGAATATGCTTGTAGAAGATCTACAGGCCAGTTTGAAGCTTCGTTCGAATTTTCAAGAATTTTTGAGGAAAAAAATGCACATTTTTCCTAATTTTCCAACAACTGTGTCAGTGAGGGTCAACGCAGATCCGTCTCGTGTCACCAAGGCGAACGTCGCTAATAGAAGTCGGTACGTTTCCAAAAACGATCAGACTATTTCATCAAAACTTTGAGCAAATCATTAAAACTACACAATGAAGCGCATCTTTTTCCCACAAAAAATAAAAGAATTACCAAAAATTCCCGCAAAACATCAGATTGCATCAGAAATGCTACAGTGAATGCCAAACTCATATGATCAACAACGAAAAGTCACCTTCAAATGTTCGTTAGCCACAAGTGAGTCCCTGACGGAAATCGTCGAGGCCACCCTATCCTGTATACACCTCTTTAATTCATGTATACCATAATATTGTAAAACACACCAAAGTCGTAATGAGCGGAATTGCCTTCCTAATGGGATGCTCCTGAGATATGACCATATACGCAATGTGGGAAAAGATACACATGGTCAACTACGTGGGTTGAGAATTCTGGGAAATTCTTACTGGTTTCTATACATGAATTCTTGTGAGAAAGCGAACATATATTCCTCCAACACTGCATATATCTAGAGAACTCACCATGAACTGAGAGTCGGAGCGGCGTTGGTTTTGGAAGCTTGTGGAAGGTAGTCACCAGTTGCAGCGAACGCAGCAGTCATGCGCTGCTTATCCTGATAATGATACAGTGTGTGCCAGTTTGATATGCAAATGTGCGTTTTCAATCCCAGGATGAGTGAACAACTTGTCGCTATCATAGCCTTGAAAGGTTGCTTTTATCACATCACATGTTCATAGCAATGTTAACATTGTTTATGCGATATAGTTTCAGATCGATTCTTATTAATCTCGGAAAATAACGCACATTTGCATACAAAATCCACACGGACCGTAGAAAATTAAGCGCTTGTTCGTAGCCGAACTTAAGTTTATTCTGAAAGATTCTCGACGAACAAACAACTCATGTTGTTGCAACCTGTTTTCTCAACTTGAAAAATTCAATACTCTCGAGCACACGTACCACTATTAACT